AATTTCGTTGATATTTAGTAGTTGAACGCGTTGAAAGACTCGTTGAAAGCAACGTCTGTACATTTTATGTGTGTCTTGTTAGTAGAGCAGCCGCGATTTTCTGCGTGATATTACATTTTCATTTACTTTCTTTTTTGAGTATTTTTTTTTTTTTTTTTTTTTTTTTTTTTTAATGGTTTTTCGCTTGGCATATAACGTTTTGTGTAGTTTTTGAAACTTGCAATGTCCTTTCGAATTTATTTTGTCTCTCAAGAGAATGTGTTCACACACGAATTCAATATATGTATGAATTAATTCTCGATTGTCCTGTTGTAAGGCTTCTCGCACAGCGACACGCGCGTGCACGCCAAAATTGCGCAACTCTCGTGTGATATATAAAAAATTGAGTTGAGACCTCGTCTCGCGTCATAGTCGTTAACTCGATCGATTTGTGTTTTTATTTTCACGCTAATCTATTTCTTTCGATTTGAAACAATAATAAAAACGCAGTAGGCAAGGAAAAAATAAATTAAAAAAAAAAAAAAATGGAAAAAAAACCCAAAAGAAAAAAGAGAGAGAAAAGGAACAAAATTTTGGAGCAATAAGCCTTGCTACAGTGTTACACAATGTGAACGGGGTCTATTTGTTTTATGGATTGTTTAGGGCTGAACCAACAGGGGGGCCAAAGATATCAACGCGACGCAAGCGGAGAGCTGGCAGAGCCTCCGAGTAAGTAGAAAGAAAAACCAAAAAAAAAACAAAAAAAAAAAAAAAAGAATCGAAGTTTCGAAATAATAATTAATCGCCAAATTATCCTGACTTTTTCCTCTCAGCGCATCTGTAATTAAAACCGGTCGAGGATGTGTTGGAATTTCCACATTTTTATATCTCTGTCACACACACACATTTGACACACAAACACACACACACACACACACATAAGATGTTTACATTCAGCTCTACATGTTCACACGCAGTTTTGACTTTTATCGACGCCCCTAAAAATAATCTTTCATCCGCTTTCTCTTTTATCTGCCTGTGTAACATGTAAGCGATGCATATACAATACGTTTAATATATTATATGCATATAATAAGGGAACAATGAATCGGTTTTTGGGAAAAGGTTTTCTCTTTCTATGCGCCGTTTTAATCGAACCTCGGATTCGGATTCAACATATGTTCGACTTTGATCAAAGATTAGACCAAAAACAAGCGAGCTGTCTCAATTTCAGTAAACGTTGCCCCCTGGAATGAGTAAATTCCAATGGAACCTTAATGCTACATTGCGGTATCTGATGCGGGTTTTGGCGGCCGAGCAGCAAAGTGAAACAGTAGACAACAGAAAGAAACAGAAAGAGAACCGCACAAAGAAAGAAAACTCTTTTGTCCCCCTTTCCTCTCAACTTCCTTTCTTTCTCTTTCTCTCCCTCTCGCGGGGGAACCGATTCATTACTCTCTTGTGTAATTAAACGCCCTTCTATAGTATGCTAAATATGCTAAGTGTATACTGTAATCTTCATGTCTCTTTCGGTGTCTGTATTTTTTTTTTTTTTTTTGTAGCCGTGTGCAAAATGTGCTGCTTCTTTATGTTGATCAGTTGCGTCTGTCACGATCGAATCTTCTTTAGTCTTTTTGTTTGTTTTAGTAAAAAACATTTATGTAGAGTAACGCAAAATTGTTATCGGACTGACAATGTACGGTAGACCACGTGAGCCAACATTTTATTTCATTCGTTTTTAATAGTTGCGACGTTTACTCTCTTCAATAATCTTTCATGAATGCGAAGCGCACTCACGTAATATCTATATACTCTACGATTCTCTCTATCATCCTATCGTTCTCTTCTTCGGTCCTTTTTTCGTCTAATGTCGTCAGAGCGCAATATATATACTAATAGAAAGTTCATGTCGTGTACAATAAACAGTTTATACTTTTAAGTGACGTATATGTAATTTTAAAAGAGTAATATCACACGTTAGATCGGCGACATTTGTTCATTAGAATGACGTTAAGCACGATATATGTGTGTAATTAAAATAAACTGTCAGGAAAATTGTTTTATCTTTATTATAATTGTCTCTCTTATCCCATCTCTCTCTTCCTCTTTCTCTCTCTCTCTCTTTGTTTCTCGCTCGCTTCTATAAATATGTCTGTTATTCTTCGCGAGCAACTAAGGGACACTTTTTGGGATAAGAAACTCGCGAATTTTCGAAAGATAAAAAACGTACACGACAGTAGCTACTAATTAGTCTCTGAATTAGATACCAGGTTTTGTCTTATTTTCTTTCTCATCAGACGTTGGAGAGTTGTTAACCGACCGTTAAGACAAGAAATAGTACTTGCGGATTTAGTTTTATATTTCTCCTTTTTTTCCTTTTCTCTCTATGCAGTAGGTATTCACTCACCTACCCACACACACGCACACACTCACTCATTCACTCACTCACTTATACATACACAGAGAGAGGGAGTTTCATAACAAACGCAAACGATAATAACAATGTTATCATCTTTGAAAGATGAATATACAGGACGTCTTTTCGCCAATTATACACACATATGATTCCGAGTGTGTTACCATGACTTTTTCTCTTTCCACACGGAATCATGATTGTTGCGTGTTGTTTGACGAACCTTGAATGACCTCACGTGCATGATTCGATTGAGGGTTCTCCTCCTCTTTGTTTTCCTCCCACCCTCTTCCATTTGTTCTTGTTGGAATTGTTACTTCGCACGACGAACTGCTCTTGACTGACGTTTCGAGTTCGAAGTGTTTCACGATTCGATAAACTTTGTTGTAACATACGTGTAAGTGTGGTCGGAATTGTTGCAGGATGGTAATGGGAATTGCTTAATCAAATTGTACGTTTTTTTCCGATTACGCTAATAAATTCGTTTCTCTTTCGGGTTCTTCTTAACAGAGATCTCTCCTCCCCCCCCCCTCCTCCTCTCTCGTCCGCTCTCTTCCACGGCGAGACAGATTTCCTGTACGTTACACAGTGTCACAGATTAACGCAGACAATCATTACATTAGTGTGTCAAATTTGTTGTTTTGCGGGGAGATCGCTTGGATAAACCTTCACGCAATTCTTGAAAGAAATCGAGTGAATAATTTTCGAGAATCCCCCGAAAAAAAATGACAAAACTCACGTCTGTTTTTCTCTGTGTCATTCGGCTATCTCGGAGAGGCGACCGAGGGATGTGTTCCTGAGACTGTCGCGTCTCCGTTTCCGCTGTTTCAGAAACCCGGCGGAGATGTCACACACCTGCCGCGGCACGATTTCCTTACACGGGGCCTTAATACACACGGTGGACGCTTGCACCTTCGTCGTCAGCAACGGCGGTACGCAAACCTTCCACATCAAGGCGTCGACCGAGGTGGAGCGACAGCAATGGGTCACAGCTCTCGAGTTGGCAAAGGCCAAGGCGATCCAAGCGATGGAATCTGGTTCGTACAAAAATTTTTTATCATTTCGCACGCGTTTTGCAAATTGGCGCACAAACTAATGCTTGTATCGACTCGAGCTATTTCTTTTATTATTTATTTTATGCAACGCAATATCTTTTAGAAGAAGAGGAGGAGGAATATCAAGATAACGACAATCAAAAGGTAGAAAACACGTCTGTGATCAAGGATTTAACGCAACGATTACAAGATTTGCAAGCGTGCAATGACGTGATGGTGAAGCACGGAACTGCGCTTCAACGAGCTTTAACCGATTTGGAAGCGCTAGAACCTTCGTCCTCCGATTTAGGAGCAAAACTCAAACTCGTCAACGAGCGAGCCACGCTTTTCCGAATTGCCGCAACTGCTATGGTTAATGTGAGTTCAAACAATAAAAAAAAAAATAAATTTCTTTATTAATTGTTCAAACAATAAAATTTCTGCAAACTTTTATTAAATCTATCGTATAAAAAAAAAAAAAAAAAAAAAGAAGTCGATAATTATTGAGACTGGATGAATCATTATACGCGTTCAATAAATCTTGTCGTAGAGAGAAACAGAAATTATGGCACGATTACAAGTAAATAATTTGATTGTTCAGATTCTTTTGAAGAAAAAAATCGATGTTTCTTGAAAAACAATCGGTAATTCGCTTGGTATGTCATTGACGCGTTCAAACATTACGTAAAAAATGGATGAGATTCACAGAGCAGAGTTCAATTTACACAATTAGAATCATCTCAGCTTTTATTCGCAAAATTAACCTTGGCAATGGCATTCTCTTTGCTGATGTTAACCTAATACTGGCATGATCTAAGACAAACCTAAAAATGGATTGGATATCTCATTATATTGCAGAAGAGCGGCGATTATTTGCAAGCAGCCCAGCATCAGGAGCCTAAATGGAAGAAGATGCTGCAGCACGAGCGTGACCAAAAAGTGCGAATAGAAAAGATGGTCGAGCAGCTAGCTAGACAACATTCCCATTTAGAGGAAGCTGCTCAGCACGCGAATATTCCTTCAGTAATGCCCGCGAGCGGACACAGACTTTCACGTAAGTAAATTTGAACATTTTCACGCGCTTCTTTTGTTTTCGTTTTTTTTTTTTTTTTTCAATATACTTTGCCTGAGTGTGTTTTGTTATTGTTTATACTTTCTTTTACATTGTTATTTAAAAGCATTCTAGATTATTCAAGTTTTGTGCTGTCTTCTTTTACTATATTCTCTCAAAACAAAATTTTATTAAAATTTCTCCCGATTCCGTTTTGACTAAAAGAAGCCACTAGAGAAATAGAAATTATTCACAAAGGAAATACAAAGGAAAATTTTTATTATAAATTAAGTTTCTGCAGTTATCTGTTAAAATTTACATGTTATCGACTTTCACTTTGAATTTTTATCAGTCGTATAATAAAACTGGACTAAATAAATCAAAAGTAAATAAATATTAAAGAAAACTGAATGAAATGTGAACTTATTTTTAAAGTATGTGAGATTTTAAGTAAACTTATTGTTAATGAATTTAAGTAAACTTATTGTTAATGAATTTTTGAAACACAAGAGGCTATCAAAAAGATTTTAATATTTTAGTAAATGAGTGTCATGAAAAATATTAATATTTTGTCTTGAAGTAAACATTCTCAAAAATTTATATTGAGAGTCTTTCACGTCCGGTGACATCAATGTGGTGCCACGTGCAAACCGACAGTTTAAAATATAAATTTTATAAAAAGAGAAATTCGAATTTCGCGCCTTATTTATTTGCTTTTGTCCGCGCTAGATGGCTTCCAGAAGCCAGCACTGCAAAACGTTATCGTGCTTACGTCATTTGTAGTCTACGTACGCACCATTTCGTAATGCTGTAACTACACAGTGTATATAGAAAAGTGTGTGTATTTGTCGTATATATTATATATATACGTATAACACGATATGTGTTTACACACACGGTAATGTGTGTGCGCGCGCGTGCGTTGTGTGTGTGTGAGAAAGAGAGAGAGAGAGAGAAAGAGGGAGAGAAAGAGAGGGACATGCATATCTACACACGAGTGCACTTCCGTTTCTTCTGAGTTGATGCTCAACGATATTCAATTAGGCAGCTCTGAAAATTTAGCGTTTAATTTATTTTTCAATTTTTTTTACTTCTTCCCAAATCTCGGTCTTCAAATTTTCGGGAAGGTGCTCCGAAAATCAACTCTTTCTTCTGTGACAAGTTGAAGGTAGCTATAGAATCGGTAAAAAGTGTCAAAGTAATCATGCTGACGTTATCGTTACTTCGGTTGGTTTGCCACGATGATTTTTTGACTAACGAGACTCTTGTTCGCGAATTAATTTAATTTCGGAATCCGCGTTATGTGAATGTGTGCTGATTACATGTGATTACGCTAGAATGTGAGGTCATGTCCATGCGTTTCTCTACTTATCTATACCGTTTTTTACGCTTTCTGTGCCAAAATGGAAGTAAATGTATACTTAAACGAGAGACAATGAGAAAGAAAAAAGTTAGACGATTTAAAAGCAAATACAAGAAAGAATACAGATGTATAGAAGTATACAAAGCATCCTTTTTTTGTAATTCATCAGGATTCTTCTAGTATTTAATTAATTCACAAATATTTTTTTAGAACAAAGTGAGAGAAAACATAAATCACAATTTGCTTAAAATAATCAAGAAAAACCATAAATAAAGCAAGCAAATCAAGAGCTACTTCAAAATTAATTGTAATTGAATCGTTATCATGTCTTTGTAAGCTGGTGGAATATCTTATCAATGTTTTATATACTGATATTATATACTGATATGATGAATATAACCAATCAAAGTAAAACACATCTGCAATGTGTGTGCCATTGTTTTCCCTACTTCAATTCAACATGTTGCTACATTGAAGACATTGCACTATGCAATAGAATACATTTTTGTTTTATCTTAATGCTTATCAAAGCTTCTGATAATTAAATGATCTTTGTCTGAAACTGGTTCTCCTTTGTTCTCCTTTTATTCAGTGTTCTACTTTATTTTTTGTAGTATAACACTTTAAACACAGATAAAAAATTTTATTTTTGTAGATCCTGCAGTAACAACTTCTCCGTCGGAGGATGAGGAAGATAACGTTGAATTTTACGATGCACAAGAATCAGATACTTTTACTTTAACCATACCTGCCACAAATAATTCACTTTCTCATACGAGAGATCGCACTGATTCTCAAGGTAGCGACGATGGCTCTAGTTCAGAAGGAGATCCAACTCCTTTGCTTGTCTCCGATTCTACTGGTGCTGAATCGTATCTCATTGTGACCGATTCTACAGCAGCTCAGACTCCTTCACCAGTTTCAGCAGCCACAAACGATCTGGATAATGTAAGAAACTTAGAAAGATGTAAAAAAATTATCCTTTTTACGAATTTAGATATTTGTCACAGATGATGTATATATGAAAACAACTCTTTGTACAACAGACAGCTTGGCAATCTAATAATGGCAGCAGCGGCACCAGGATGACCACTGTTTCCAAAAGAAAACGAAGAACTAGGGTACCTGACAAACCAAATTATCCCTTGAATCTATGGAGTATTATGAAAAATTGTATTGGCAAAGATTTATCGAAAATTCCTATGCCAGTTAATTTTTCTGAACCACTTAGTATGCTTCAACGTCTAACAGAAGATTATGAATATGCAGATATTCTCGACAGGTACATCCTAAATAAATTCGAGACATTGTATTACAGTTCAAACATTCTGCGTAAAACGCAGAATCATAACGTGCGTAGAACACAGTATTATATCGTGTTATCCGTGTATACACGTTGCTGAAAAAACAGTCCATTTCATTCGTTTATTCAATAAAACGAAATAACACAATTTAATTTTTTTTAAACTAGGGCTGCAGAATGTACAGATAGCTATGAACAGATGGCTTATGTAGCTGCATTCACTATATCTAGTTACTCTACAACTGCGTCCAGAACAGGGAAACCTTTTAATCCTCTGTTAGGTGAAACTTATGAGTGCGATCGCACAGACGATCTTGGATGGCGTGCGATTTCAGAACAAGTGTCGCATCACCCGCCAATGCTGGCGCAACATTGTGAAGGAAAGAAATGGCGCTGTTGGCAGGAATTTACAATGGCTTCTAAATTTCGCGGAAAATATTTACAGGTATGTTATTTATATAATTCTTTATTTCAGGATGTGGAATCATTGTCTTTTAAGCAATATATATATATATTTTATTGCATTATTTAAAAATGAGAGTTTTATGATTAGGTGATTCCTCTGGGTACCGCTCACTTGGAATTTGACAGCGGTCAACAACACTACACATGGCGTAAAGTCACTACTACAGTACATAATATTATAGTTGGAAAATTGTGGGTCGATCAGACCGGCGATATGGACATAGTAAATCATAAGGAAGGTATCAAATGTCACTTGAAGTACATACCATACTCGTATTTCTCGCGAGACGTTCAGCGTAAGGTGAAAGGAGTAGTCATGAATTCTAATAAAGAAGTAAAGTGGGTAGTTCAAGGTACGTGGGACGCAAAAATAGAAATTGCTCCCGTGATAAGCACATCTGGTACAGCTGATAATCCAGTCTATAAAACAGGCCCTTATATATTAGCTTGGAAACGACGAATGCTTCTGTAAGTGTACAATATCAACACATGGAAACTAGATTTATTCTAAAACTTGCAATATTTTTCTCATTTTTTTTTTAAATGTGTTTTCTCAAATACATATACTTACATTTGAAAAACGTTACTATGTGTCATGTGTAACAACATGTATATTAATGTAAATCTAAAATATCTTGATTTATTTCACAGCGATGATTGTGAGAAATATTATTCATTTACGGAACTAGCATGTCAGCTGAACGAACCAGAAGAAGGCATAGCTCCTACAGATTCTAGGCTAAGACCTGATCAGCGATTGATGGAAGATGGTCGATGGGACGAAGCTAATGCAGAGAAATTACGTTTAGAGGAAAAGCAAAGAGCGACTAGGCGAGCGCGTGAACATGAAGCTGAAAAGGCTGCCGCACAAGGTACGCGAGTGTGTGTATGTGTGTATGTGTGTGTACGTATGTGTCGCAAAAAATGTTTACTCACGAAAATTGTTTATTTACAGGATTACCCTACGAATCGTATGAACCGTTGTGGTTTAAGAAGAAACAGGATCCGTATACAGATAGTCGGTGTTACGTTTATAACGGCGAATATTGGGATTGTAAAAACAGAGGTGACTGGTCACGATGTCCAAACATATTTTAGTTTGTTGTATAAATACATTCTACATTTCCAGGACAGCTGTTGTGTAACTTTTCAGAATTTGATCGGAACAAGATTTTGACTGACGAGTTTTTCTTTTTTTCGATCGGTATGTCGTTTTGATTTATTACGACTTTAGTCGAAATTGCAATAAAAGCACATTTTGATGTGCAAAATGAAGCAGGAAACAATACAAACACAATTGGAGTTTACTTAGCTCGCCAGATGTCGAAATCGTTCCGATCATTTCGGATTGTTTCAGAATGTTTATAATAGTAATATAAATGACAGAACCCGAAAAATTTTGATCGGAAACAGTTCCATTTATGTAGTCACATGATAGCTGTCTATGTGACTCGTTATATGTATGCAGTGCAGAGAAAGTTGGATCTTTTAAAAGTGACGGTAGTCGATATATATAAAAGTTGTAATCGCGCGACGTTCAAGACTTTAATTGTGCTTGAAAAAAAAAAAAAAAAAAAGATATTACGTGATAATAGAGGTGTTGCGCGAAATATGAATTAGAATCGACGGCAATCGTACAGAGAGCCATTGAAATTAAAATTGTTTTTCGGCCAAACTACGAACAAAATTGCGTAACATATTCAGCATGATCAAATATTGACATGTAAAGAACAATTTTTTCTTTTTTTTTCGAAAAATCTTTTCGAAATAAAAAGTCGTTAATTGTAAAGACCGTAGCGTAATTCGTACTTCAATCAAAACGTTTTGGAAACACCAATCGAAAAATAATTCTTCCAAGTTTTCAGTGTGGCTTTAAAAACAGTTTTAAGATAAATAAAAATTAATTAATTAGGTGATAACTTGAGATAATTCTGATGAGATATCTTTGTACGATTTCTATCGAGCCTAAATAAGTAATTCTTCCAATGAATGGACAAAGTTATTGGCGTTCTAATATGCACAATATGCAGTTTGTAATTATTGCCTTTGTTATGTTATTTGGATTTTCTATGTCTTGCCTGATATCTTTTTTTTTCTCTTAATATGACATCAATCCATTCTCCGTTTTTTTTTCTCTTGATCAATCAGGCGCATTTAAGCTAACGTTCTCAATTAACGTGCCTAATATATTTAGGATTTCAAAAAATTTAATATCCAGCTGTTTCTTGAATCTTTTTTCGATTTATAATATTTTTTAAGTGTGTTTTCACATATATTAGCCGCATATATATAAATTCGTGCTCAATAAGTATTTTATTGAAATTATCATAAAGTGTGTATTGAGAGAAATTGCCACGAGATCATAAAGAGAGAAAGGGTTTGAGAAGTTTTTGTTAGGTCATATTACTAAAAGGAAAAAATTCAAATTTAAAAAGCTACAGCGTATCTCAGTTTTCAGTATTGTGTCTCGATTTATTTTTAGACAAAATTAATTAATTAATTTTGTGAGACATTTATCTTTCAGTTTAAGTTTGTTTTACTGAAGTCGTGATTGTGCCATTGTATATGCGAAAATTGTGAATATTTCATTGTTTAATCTATCTCCTTGTGAGAGTATTTTCATAAATAAGTACACGAATGTGCACTGAATGAGAGGCAAAATCGAAAAAAAAAAAAAAATTTAATACAAATAAATGGTAAAATCTCAGTATTTACTGATATTTTAAAAATTTTTTTTTATCAATAATTTTTAACGACAAAGACACGTTTTTTAAAATACTACTAGCAAACTGAATTTTGATACATATTAGCATTACTCATGTGCCTATATTTTTGTCATGATTTCTCTTCATTGCATATTCACTGTTTGACGCAGTGTTAGGAATAAAATATTACGAACTGTTTGAAATAAAAATAAAATAAAACACAGTATTTGTGTAAATCCGATAAAAAGAAGAATATATACATTTCGAATTTACTTGATAAGTTTTACACATTCGAATAATTCGATATATATATATATATAATAAAAGACGATATGTGTATTGTTATACACATTCAGAGCGAACGTGTTAAACAAACACACACACGTATGCAACGACTACATACTATTCACTGATTTTATGTAACATATATAGGTCGACGACGATGCTTCCAAGTTTGGCCAATGTTCTCGCAAAAATCACGCCACGTTTCGTAAATTTTGAGCTCTCCGCGAACATCGCCGAGCTGCTGCGACACGTGGAAATATGGTTTTTTTTTTTTTATAAAAGAATGATTTACGGAAACACACCGAGATATAAAAAAAAAAAAAAAACGACGGGTGCTTGAGGAAGCGCGAATTCAAAGCTCTCCGCGAATGTTTCGTTTGGAACACTCGAGGAGATAGAAAATTAAGGTCTTGAGCTTAACGATTTTTTTGTTGCTCCTTCGAAAGTACGTTTACGAACATTCACACTTGTATTGTAGGCGAGCGTGACGATTTATGATAAATTTGCGTGTGTATGTGTATATGTGTGTGTATGTTGTGTATTTATACATGCATGCAGTATGTACATAAGGAAACTTATTGTATATCCTAATCCTTCCTGCTTATGAGCACATAGGACGTTCCATTCGTTATTAGATTATTATCAGGGATACATTAGTTGTATACCCAAGCAATACATGTACGAGTTATATATTTCGGCGATAAGCTGGAGTGGAACGGCTAGCTTGCAGTCAATGTCTACAATGCTAAGCCTCTCGCTGGCTGTATTATATGATTTTACTAGTTTATAATTGAGATAATTTATATATTGTATATTATATACACACACACACACCTCTGTATACATATATATATATATATATATATAAATATAAATGAATTATATAAGAAATAAATAATTTAACAAGATGTGCGATGGATGTGCGATGAGTCGAGTAGTGAAGCTGTCTTCTCGGATCGGCGTTGTTTAGCGCTTGTACATTAGCTAATGTGTGTGAAAAGAGATAAATAATATATAATATCATGCTTCGCTACAAAAGAGATAACTAAATTTATTTTGTGGCGTCTTATGTGAGTATATATATATATATACTTTAACGACGTTTTTTCTTCATAGAACGTTTTCATCAACCGCGCGAAGGACTGTAAATTGTATATTATAAATCGAGGTTTTGTTCTATTGAATAAATTGAACCAATTATGAAAGTTATTTAATATATAAAAAGAAAGTTTTACACGTACACGTACACGCGCGCGCGCACACACGCACACGTATCAATCAAGAAATTTGTTGAGCATTCAATTGGTCTCTTTTACCTTCCTCCAATCCAGGATTTGTATAGATATCATTTTCCTATATATTATAAAATTTGATATACACACATACCGCGTGTTGTAAATCGATAAGTAATAGTTTCTAGAGGGTAACGGTTTTTTCGCCTTTTAAACAAAAAGAGGTAACTTAAACAATCAGTATGAGAGAAAGAGGAGAGAAAAAGGGACACGCAAATCTGTTTAATTACATATAATTTTTATAAATGTTCCTAAGATTTACACAAACAGAAGTAAATTATTTTGCGATTGTTATTCGTTATATATGATTTCTCGGTTCGCGTTCCGTGTTCCTTGGTTTCACAGAAGAACCGAACGGCAATAAGATTTGACGTTGATTGTTCACGTGTGTGAGAAAATTTATATTTGAAGTTAAAATTAATTTGCGTATTTTTTTTTATTAGACACACTCATATAATTTAAGCGTGTGCGTTTTTTTTTGCGTGCGTAATCATCGGTAAAGATACGAGTTGGGGTTTCCTGCGCGGCGTAGGATGCGCGCAAAGCGCCACCTCTGCCGTGTTCGTTCGTCGACGCGTGATGTCACGCGCGCAGTAATACACGGAACGCACGAGAGAGCGCATGGCGAGAGAGAACTGATCCGCAGAGCTGCTGCGCGAGCGAGTTGGAACTGCTTTCGATTGTTGGCGGGCGTCGCCATCTTGGCCAGTGCGAGTGGCTGTACGCGTTCCGTGAAGCAGCGGGCTTCGTGCGTATTTCGGGCGGTCGAGTCGTTACGAGTATTCCGTGCGCGCGTTTTCTCTTGTGAGCGTATCGACCTCGAGTATCTTTTTAAACGTCGTGTGAAATCCGCAAACATCCGACATGTCGGAACGGGAGGATAACGTTTACAAGGCGAAGCTCGCCGAGCAAGCGGAACGCTACGACGGTGAGTGGATATTTTTCCGGCGGAAGAGAGAGAGCGAGATTCGCGAGATCCGATCGCGCGAGGCGCGACGATGTACCACGCGAGACACGTACCCTCCTCTCCCGTGTTATTAAATTTATTATGTACGCGCGATACGCGAATTTCTTCCCCATCTCTCCGCGTCGTCTCGCGACGACACGGCGCGCGATCGCGGTCGTCCTCGCGCGTATCGCGTGTCCGCGACTCCACGACGGAGAACGACGTCCGTTCTCTCGTCCGGATCGGCGGAATAACCTTTCGCGCGACAACCTTTCCAGATAATAACCCAGAGACACGTTTTGTCTGTGTGTCCGTCGGTATCTGTCAAACTTGAACAGAGTGCGATCGCGAAATGCACACACGCCGATATATAATGAAACACCGATCGTTACGGTCTACCGGAACCGGTAGCGTTTCTTTGTGGCGGCGACGGCGGCGGCGGTGGCGGCGGCGATGGACGACATGATATCGACTCGTCGATCCTGATGAGGCCCGCCTTGCCTATCTGTCTGTCCGTCGATTCGCCTTCGTTCGCCCTATTTTGTTCGTCGGACTCTGTTTGTCCGTCCGGAATCTGTCTGTCAGAGATACGAATATTCCGCGAAGACGTACGCGAAGCACGCACGAGGAAAGTCTCACTTCCGTCATACCTGGTCGGAGAATGACGCACGCAATAGCGTACACGTTGCTAGGCGTGCTCTTGGTTAGTTCAACTTTTTTTTTTTTTTTTTTTTTTTTTTTTTTTGCCGCTCACTGCCTTGTGTTTGCATGGCAGATAAGCGACAAGTATCGCTTCTTCGTTGACGGTTCTCTCCGTCTCACTCTCTTGTTTCTTTGTGTCTCTCTGCCCAATATATACGTATCTCTCTCTCCCTCTCTCTCTCTCTCTCTCTGTCGTGACACGCATATCAGATCGCCGGCGGGTCATTAGTATGGTCAAACGAGAGAGGACACAGAAACTAATTCGCGTGCACCGGCCTTGAATTTTCATGCCGCGCAAGAGAAAATTACCGGCTCGAGTCTTCTCGGGGAAGAGAAAGAGAACAGAGAGGAAAAGAGTTTTCTTTCTCTTCTCTCTCTCCGATTTTCATCTATCTCTCTCTTCCCGCACGTAATTTGAGAATCGAGTTAGGTCTCCTAATCAATCCGCAAATATCCGCGGACTTAATGTCTAATTGTTCCAACGAGCGTTTTTCGATCTCGTCGCGCGCATCAATCGGTGTGAAAAAATCTCTCAATAATCTGTAAAGGTCCGCTTTTTGACGTAGTCGCACAGGTATAAAATGGACTCTGCGTTTCACACACGGACGTGTTGTGCCGAAGTGTGCTTTCGCTGATCTCGTTTTTGCGAGATCTCCTCTCTCGTCGTTGTGCAACTTTTTTTATTGTTTGCAAATTTTCATATTGTTCGCGAAAACGACATCCTTACGTACGGTGTGTTTTTTTATTTTTTATTTTTTTTTTTTTGCTTTTTATTGAGCGTTTCCGAGACAATTGCTGGGTTTGAACGGCCGCGTCCGATACGTTCTAAAGACATCCGATCCAATTTTTCTCCGCGTGTACTTTCGATATCGATGATTGACGGCGCGACTAACAAGCGTTAGCCAACATTCGGTATCGATTACCCACGTAGCGATAGTCTCGGTTCGCGCGTCTTTCGATGATAAAAATACGTCCGATTCGATCTTCCGTAAAGGCGGCGTGTTTGTCTATTCAGACGTGTAGCGGGAAGAGGAAGTCGAGGGACACAATATGATGCTGTGCACGGGAGAGAAAAATCGGGAAAACGCTCGAATTTCCTCGTTCTCGCGTCGCGCGTTTCGAGGTCGTGTCTTTTTTTTTTTTTTTTTTTTGCGGGATCTCACGAAAAACACCGACTGAAAATTCGTTTTCCCTCATTTTTTCGTAATGGATTATCGGGAATCCATTTATTTTCGCGCGACTTACATCCATCGCGTTTAGTTCGCAAATTTATCGTTCACAGTTTTGTCAATATTTTAGAAACTTGATTTTTACTTCGGTCTTATTACGTTAATGATAATTCGTTGAATTGAAATTTTATTGCGTTATAAAATAAATTAAGTTTTTTTTTTTTTTTTTTTTTTAATTTTAATACATAAATCTCGGCGGTTGAACAGTAGGTGCTAATTAACGAAATCTCGTTCCGCGAAATCTCTAATTGGTGGGCGTCTTGTTTCTTCTCACAGGTTGCTCCAATTAATAAATATCTTTTTTTTTTTTTTTTTTTTAATTACACACTTTTAATTGACTAAATACCAATAGTTCCAACAATTGTTTTAAAATGCAAAACTTCGAGAATTCTTTTTTTGAGGTCGTCCATCCAAAAGTGTATTGTATTTCTTATCAGAGAGATATGGCGTGAAAAATGAGCTCTAAATACTAAATGGGATTAGATCCGATAGAATTAATTACCTGCGCGCCAGAATTGCGGCCACCACGCCTTTCTTGATCACACTATTATATTCCGTAATAATGCTCTTAAGTTCGCAAAAGCTTCAGTTAACTTCAGACAAGTTGGGTTTGACACTACCTGACATTGGTGCGATTTGGTCTGATATCACAGACGATGTAACTTCTCTCAAGATGTTAAAAATCCGGAAAGAGATGTAGATGTAAATGTGTACGAGTAAATATGTGTGAGTGTGTGTGTACATGTGTATATGTATACGAGAGAGAGAGAGAGAGAGAGAGAGAGAAAAAGGGGAGAGGAAGATGGAGGGGGGCAAAAGAGTAAAAAAAAAAACGTGCGAGTTTGAAGGTGACTATAGAAAAATAAAGGAAGATAGAAAAAGAGGGTGAATCTAGTCGTGAAAAGAGCAGAAGGTGAGCGAAGGGATGAGAAGAAGCGGGCAGAATGGAGGAGAGGGTGGTTAACAGAAGGAAAGTATTGATCTGGTGGCCGCCATCCCACGTTACTGTACACCTCGACTGATATACCGTGTTCATTGTAACGACCGCTTTACGTCACATTCACAGAGAGCCCCCCTGTGAACTTGAAGTCACCGAGACTACGATCATCGGTACGCCATATCGCGATGCATTGATCCACGCATCGATCTTTCTCTCGACGCGTATTTCCCTTTGTTAAAAAAATCTCCGTTATTTACGGGTATCTCCAGTATGGCGATTCTACTAACGACAACGTATCGGTATCGTTGCGTCGCACGGTTGTTTTACAATATGTTTTTTTTTTTTTTTTTTTTTTTTTTTTTTTTTTTTTTTTTTTTTTGGCTGAAACACCACAAGTAAAACGATATTGTCATTAGTAAAGTTACAGAAACCGTAAATATATAGATATTTAGACAGAGCTCTAGCGAAGTTCTACGCTTCTTTTTCTTGTTTTGTTTCGAGAAGAGCGAAAAGAACGTGCTCTTTTTAAGCACACTCAAGATAAGGCAAAAGGCACCACAAGTTCCTCGCGCAAATGAGACCGCCAAATTTTCAGATATGCAGTTTCTCCGATTCTAATATTTTGCAAGTCACGGTTGTCGCATATATTAAATATTAAATATGTTATTAATTATATTAAATATGTTATTTTCAATATAGACAACTTTTTACACGCACACACACACACACACATTATTTATTATTTTTGTATTTATTTTTCACGATTTTTCAGAGTTTGTATATTTCTGTAATTACATGTTCAGCTAGATATTTCTTTACCTTTTTATTCGAAGAAAATTTATTTAAGTCTCCGATTTGCATGCTGTAAAAACTGTAAAAACATCTAAAGGCCAACAATCCGTGCCTCTCAGTGAATATCAGGATCGAAATATGTCGATAAATACGTATTAGTAACTTCCGTGAAAAGTTCAAGGGGCAGCGGATTAATATATACCGACGCGTTCTCGTCCCTTTTACTCGAAAGAAACTTGGCACTATCGTTTTATCTGTAATAGGCACGTTATACATTTTATAGACTGAACGTCCACGCGCTATTTAGGCGCGTCCACACGAATGATAAAGGAGTTGATTTATTAAAAAAAATCGTTTGATATTCTATTTAATTCTTCGTTGGTGGACAACAATTTAAAAAAAATTCATTAATCTAAGAAATTCTTATATCTCGCATAAATGTTTTGTATTTAGACAATTTCGTTTCACACACTTAATTTGTAAAACAAACGTCGCAATCGAGCAATTTTTATTATCTAAGAGAAAAACAAATAGTTTTTATTTTTCTTTAAGTGCGGAATTTCACAGATCGCGCAAGTGCTTTTGTAATTGCGCGTGTGTTCGTTTTAATTCAAACGGCGACAACACCTCATTACCAGACGCGCGTAAACGAACTTGAGGCTTATCTAATCTAGATGCGCAATTTTTCTTAAATTTAAATGTAAAAAAATATTGGGGACGAAGACACGTGGACATTCGGTCTCGTAGACCGTGTGATGTCGAAGAATTAACAAAGTGATCGAAAATACGTCTTAGTAATCGATCATAAGCTTCACAGTGTGAATTAAAATTGAATTATGAAATAATATTGTCTGTCGTTATTGTTTGCAGAAATGGTTGAGGCGATGAAGAAGGTAGCTTCATTGGACGTAGAACTCACCGTTGAGGAAAGAAATCTTCTTTCGGTAGCGTATAAAAATGTTATCGGCGCGAGAAGAGCCTCCTGGAGAATAATCTCGAGTATCGAACAAAAGGAGGAGAACAAGGGCGCCGAAGGAAAACTAGAGATGATACGTCAGTACCGATCGCAAGTGGAAAAAGAACTCAGAGATATTTGCGCCGATATCCTCGGCGTCTTGGATAAGCACTTGATACCGTGCGCCTCTACAGGAGAATCCAAAGTCTTCTATTATAAAATGTAAGAATCTCTTGTATATATTTTTTTTTTTCAATTTTATCTCACACAATTGTTCATCAGTTGAAAGCCAATTATTTGTGGCTGTAGCAAACTGTCAATTTAACTCAAGAAAGTTTTTTTCTTTATATTGTAATGTACTTTCAGTATTCAAAGATAATTTATATCGAAATGTTTTTTTTTAGATTTCTACTTCTTATTATGCTTTTTATGTCTCTGTCCCAGTTTGCTAAAAGAGAGTCTTGAAATAAATTTCATTTCTTGTACTTGGTGTACACAATGTTTCATTAAATCTGATATTAATGCGCGTTTTCAGGAAAGGTGATTACCATCGTTACTTGGCGGAATTTGCAATCGGTAACGACAGGAAGGAAGCGGCAGAGAATTCTCTGGTGGCGTACAAAGCGGCGAGCGACATTGCCATGACGGAGCTACCGCCGACTCACCCTATTCGTCTGGGATTAGCGCTCAACTTCTCCGTATTTTACTATGAAATCCTCAACAGTCCTGATAGAGCGTGCCGCTTAGCAAAAGCAGCCTTTGACGATGCGATCGCCGAACTGGACACGTTGTCCGAAGAGAGCTACAAAGATTCCACTCTTATAATGCAACTTCTCAGGGACAACCTTACTCTATGGACGTCGGATATGCAGGGAGACGGTTAGTGTCCCAGTTTCTTGCGAATGCAAAATTGTTACAGGGATGTGTTTTGATTACGCTAGAATGCGTCTCACAACTCTGTTTGCTCGTTCCGCACCCGATCAATACATAAGCGAATACCATGCGTTGTAGGGCGATCTTATTCGAATATTCTTGTCTCACGTACGTTATCTAGGGTGTTCTAACTATCACTGTCTTTTTATGCGACTTACGATCTCGGTTAAGTCTATCTATTTGAAATGAAACTTCGCGATGTTTTTTTTTTTTTTTTTATTGTGTTTTGCACGTCTCCGTTTAAAAAGATGCCTCTATTAGAAAAGAAAATTTCTATTAAGATTGAAACAACAAATGTTACAAAATTCTGTGATGTAAACAATAATAAAAATCTAGTTCTGTTTTTTGATTATTTGATACTAAAGAAGATTGCGACTTGTACAAAATTGTATATTTGTTTGAAAACTAATCGTTACACAGAATACTAAAATTGTTAAGAAACTGTATTGTTTATTTTTTTGTTTTTTATTTATGATGTTACTTTTACAATGTTTTTGTCTTACATATAATTTATAAGAAGATCAAACTGTAAATTTCGAACGTAGAATCATTGTTTTGTAATTTAGAATCCGAATCTGGCCGGCAGGGTGATAGCAGAATCGCGGCAGAGAATAGCGCTAATGAAAACGACGCCTGAACGTAGATATCCTTTTCCTAGTGTCCTTGCGGCGAACCTGTACCTGGTGAGCGACACACAATTCTTGCACATGTTATCGCGTTAAAATCAACAGAATACATGAAAACACGTCGCAAGCCAAACTCCGCTTTTAAGACTATCTCTCATTACTTTGTCTCAATCATTCTGTGTCCGTTCTTATCGTATCAAATTTGATTTCGGAGATTTATTTGCTTTAAAAGAAACTAAACACCTCGCTGTTTAGTTGTGCATTCAGAAGTAATTACTTATTAACATACCGTTTTTCTCTTCGTATTTGTTGCGCAGGTGAGGCCGAACAAAAGGAGCAACTGCAAGATGTGGAAGACCAGGACGTATCGTAACTCTAACTGTAGTGAGTGTTATCTTGCGCATATAAAACTGAGATACAAGAAAAAAACTCTTAATAACTCGTAAGCAAAAGAAAAAAAAAACCAATTCAGCAGGTGGCAGTTTGGGGTGGGAAGGGGAGACCTTTAAAAAAAAATTTGCGTGGCTCTTACAAAACACGCACTTTTTACGATTACTTCAAGACAAACAAACAACAAGCTACAAGAAAAATAACAATAAATCTTTCTCGATTGCATTACACTTTGCTACATGTACGATTGAGTTACGGAGCACGCAGAAAATACGATGCAAAAAAAAAAGAAACAAAAAGAACACGGCACACTCTGCGGCAAAGGATAGAGAGACTGCAAAGCATTTAGGAAAGGCACTTTCCAATAGCCCCGTTTTTGCGTATTGAGAGGAAACACCCACCACGTATATTTGCATGTTGCGTATATATTAGACCAAAATTACTCGCACGGATGACGTCGCACCGATGTCAATACCGGCGACGATTTGAGTAATTTCTCGATCATTTCGTCACATTAGAATTTTAATCTCCTTGATTTCTGTGAATGAGCAAATTGTGTCTTACTACACACGTTTTGCAACGGCAAAAAAAAATAGTTGCTCGACGATGCATTTGTATTTTTGCTTGCTTTTTATTATACACTTCTGCTAATCTTTTTATTCTTCTTACTTCTTCAACCTCTACCCTCTGCTCACTCCCCTTTTTCTCATTCTTCCAAACCTCGCTTCTTTTTACTGCACACGATTGTCTCGCACATAATGTATAATTGCGATACTTTTTCTCTCTCTTTCTCTTTCTCTCTCTTTCGCACATACACAAACACACACACACACACACACACACCTCTCTCACTACGGAAATAACGGAGGCGCCCCTCAATTGCCAATTGTCAATGTCAAGACAGACCTCGCTTTCGAGCTTGTACTGTTTAATAAAATATGTACTTCCGAAAACCACACGAAATCTCTGATATACGAATGTAATAATTATAGATAGTTCCTCAAAAATAATGTAAAATGCATGGTTTTTTGGCATCAGTCGAGCTGAGGAGAAGAGAACGTAGTTAATTGCCTTACCTCCTCCTCTTCCCCCCCTCTGTACCTTTTCCAAATGCAATAATAGTACCATTGTCCGACTGAGAATTGTGAACTTTCAGAAGGAGATCATGTTCGCAAAATTTTGCGACAAATAAAAAAAACAGAAAGAAAGAGAAAAAAACGAGTGTATTATCGAAGTTTCGATCGCGTATCGTCTGAATCTATTGATTTCATAATTAATTATCGCACATGTTTCGTGGATAGACGAGTGTGTCTCATCGCGTCAGCTCGACGAGCAGTGAGTCGTGATTTAAAAGGGAAAAAAAAGGAAGAAAAGCAAGAACGCAAACAAAAAAAAAAAAACAAAAAAAACAAAAAAGATTACGTTATCGTATGTGAGCCTCTTTATATTAATATTACGTTACTCACAGCAACCAAGTAAACTATCTAGCTAGTCTGTAATGTGGTTGTACGTTTTCATACGCCCGTTGTGTAAACTAATATCGATTATTGTGGTATAAGAAGTGACAGAATAAATGATTGTACCCCGACTTTTTTCCATTCGCGCGCGCGCGCACACACACATACATACACAATACATACACATACATACGCAGACATAATTTTACGCTCTATATATAAATATACATCCAATCCGCGCGGATAATTGATCCGTGTTTGTTAATCGTGGATTGAAACCGGTACAGATTTCTGGCGAATTCAAGCTTTCGTTAGTGTAAATACTATACGCGTGAGATAAAAGAATCCTATTTCGCACTTCTATCGACGGTGTACAGAGAAAGATCGGTGTCACTTCCTACTGTTCGTAGAACACGTCGAGATCCAAAATCTCGTCGAAATGATATCGAAAATGAACAAAAAAATTAAAAAAAATTGACCGGTTTCAGTTCTTCGTTGTATTATCCATTTCTCTTCGATTCGTCGTCGAGTCATTCCATCCAGTTTTATGTTGAGACATTCCATTGTTCTTGTAATAAGAAGAAATCTCTGTCGGGATCGTAGATTTACAAGTGAATAAAAAAAAAAAAAAAGAAATCCTTCCTTCACACATACAAAATCGACGAGGTAAGCTTTAGCTAAGTATTGACCATTTTAACGCATTTAAACTCTTTATCTATTAGAGCTGGAATTACCAAAATCTATTTTAAGCTCAAGCAGCTCACTCGGGTTTTCTTGCTGACTAACGACACGGAAAGAGAGAGAGAGCGAATGATTTTTATCAAAAAAGGAGATGCCGAACGAGCGCAGCGAAAGAGTGAGGCGTTTTTAATATTAGTAGCAGCAACTAAAAAGCAACATCCATCGGGAAAACGTGTGGATTGCAAGCTCCGCGCAGGAAACAAGGTAGAAAAAAAAAAAAAGAAAAAAAACAAAATTGGTGTCTATGGGGTGCTCCTGTATTTAGATGCCGGTATATGCTATACCGGTAAAATCGATAAACACCATTATGTTACAAGTAAATACGTTATAAGGAATAACTCCAAGTAATAATATCAATCGGTTCTCGTAAAGTAAGTCAGTATATATTTGCTTTGCGAAATGTAATAAGTAAAAGCGTAAAGTAAGTAGATTAAATAAAACACACAATAAAAAAAAAATAAAAATAAAATAATAATCTTGATGCGAAAGATTATATTCGAGCGACAGCAACGTGTAGAATCAACTTTAGTACATGATGTGATCGAGTCGATTAATAATCGAGAAGATTAAGTCGCGCGAAAACTACTGCGCAAGGTAAACAGAGCTCTAAATTAAGAACTGCGGAGTGAGGCGGAAAAGCTGTTCGTAGGCTGTAAAACGCACACGCGCATATACATAAATATATATATATATATATATATATATATAATATATATATATGTATATTTCAAGTACATAGCGTGTGTGTGTCTCTGTGCGGCAGAATTGTTTTTACGAAAGTTGGGTAACGTAAAACGTGTGTGTCGGGTGGCAACAAATGATGAATAATTAGCGACGATCCCCTCCCCCTCCCCGTATGTCGAGATTATTAGTCCGATCGGCCGCGCGATTCGACGACACGGGTCGACAAAATTTTGACTTTTTAGAATTTACACGGGAGTAACTGCACTTTCTCGAAGTAATTTTGTTCGCGTTCGCTGAACATTCGAATCTGACACGCGGGAGAAGCTAAATTCGAATTCAGCGGTCAACGACGATTCTGCCTCGAGAAACGCTAATTCGTTCTTAAACCCAAAAAATTTTCACGCCGACCTGTGTGTAATTAGTTTATAGGATAGACACCGTCGGAAACGATTTTTTATAGATATCGTTTTTTAAAGTGACGCAGAATTCTGTTATTTAGAAAACTTCGCGAACTTGATCAGTTTCGTTGACTCTTCTTCTTGCTTTCTTGATCAATAAACGATATGTGTTTTTGTATATCTACCTACTTTTATATATATATATATATATATACATATATATATATATATATATTTATTATATTAGCCCGGTTTATACACATACCGCGTATACAGGGAATTTAGCGATTGAATTTGAGACTGATAACAAAACGCGAACGATTCGAACAAAAAAAAAAACAAAAAACGCCACGTCACTCCGCGCCGCGTCGCGTCATCATCATCGTTTGAAGGAGAGCTAAGTTTGCGTTATTTGCGATCTAAAAAGTGCGTTCTTACGTTCTGTATTACAATCGAAATGCGAATTACACCGAATGCAAACAATCTTTTTTCTGTAAGATTACATACACACATACACACACGGAAGCTATAAATAAAATAAAATGATAAATCTATGTTTTTTTTTTTCTAATCAACATAACTTTATTGAAAACATTGTCAATTTGTTTCTTAAATATTAATAAAACTCGGCTCAGCCAAATTAGGGGAGACATTTAACAGAAGCTTAGAGGAGTCTTTTCAGTCTCTTAAATAAATAAATAAATATTATTTCATTATTTTAATCGATGTGACACGTTTCTATATATTCTGATTAAAACTTAAGGTTTCTTTTAAATTTTCTGCAACAGAGGAGGGATACGCGTGAAGAAGCGAAGAAAAAGAAGGTTTTGTTAAATTACATCACAGAATTGAGGAAACCCCGCGAAGTTTTCTTTGTACTGTATTATTATACATCGAAATAAATTTTAATCAATCACGGAATGCGACTGGCTGTGCGCGAATTTTTCCTGTTTCTCCTTGCCGAAATCGCGGAAGCTACTTGATGCGGATAAGAGTCTTCTCGGTTTGTTCAAATCCACTTGTCGCAAGATTCGCTCGAGATTGCCTTCCGAGCTCGTTAGAATCGGCGAAAGACTGATAGGCGATGCGGTTCGGGTTTTTATAACTCGGCCACTCCTCGGCGACTTTCCCGTTGGATCGTTAGATCGACGTTTGGCGGATCTCAGTTTTACGTTACGCAGCATTTCCAGAGACACGACCGGACCTTTCGAGTTTGATACGATGCTTCGTCTGTTATCCTGAAACGTAATGTTTGTATTATTACAAATAAAGATGTATAAAAAATGTGATTGAGAGAATACCGTGGATGGAGCCTTCTTCAGAGTTACTTTTAAAAGATCGTCAACGGTGATACTTGGCCTATTGAACAACGGCGTCGAACATTTTCTCGTGGGCGTTTTGCTTTTGTTTTTCTTACTGCTATTGGGAGTCGTCGGTTGTGTTCGTGGTAACGCGGTCTGCAAAGCGGCTGAAGGAAAAGGGGGAGGAGGTGGCGGTAATAACGTTGATTCCAAATTAAGCGAAGGAAGTGACGGAGTCGGTGGAAGAGTCAGTCGAGGTGGAGAAGAAGAGCTTAAAGGACACAAAGAAAATGGGGTAGGTGGTCGAGTGTATTTCAATCGATCTTCCTCCAGTGTTTTACGCAATTGCTTCAGCTCTTGTGTCAGCGCCATATCGTTCTCAATCATTTTTTTACTGGTTTCATTGATGACTTTAATTTGAGCTGTCAGATCGTTAAGAGTGGTTTCAGTACACATTCGCATCTACATGCATCGAAGAAAATTATTATTATCCAGTGCATTTTTGAAAGGTCTAACAACTGATGTTGTGGTTTTGTTGTTTTTTTTTTGTAAAAAAGAGAAAGCGTTCAAAATACATCGTTAAAAATTATCTGTTACTTTTACCTGAACAAACTCCGCCGAAAGTCTTGTTACTTTCTCCGACACCTCGCATAATATTTTCTCATTTTCAGAGTGCATGGTCTTTACTAATCGGTCCAATTTCTTTATTTGAGAAGTTTGTGTTAGGAAAATCATCTTTTTCAGTTTCGCATAACTCTGAAAGAGAGAAAGTAATATCACAATTATCTGAAATAAATAAAGCATTTATTTGCATAAATAAATAACTATAACACGTTCTCATAAAATTATTGTTTTACAAGATGATGATTCTTTTTTTGTGCGACTTCAGACTGATTTGACAAAACTTACGATTTTTAGCCAATGCGACAGCTTTTTTTTCAGCCAGATGCAGAGAGTGATCAACCACCCGAATATCGCGCGACTCAAGTTTCTTCGCCAGGATGTGCGGTCTTCGGAGTTATCTTGTAGCATCGCACTGCTTTGTAGCGTTTGATCATAATTGTCATAATCTATCTGAATTGTTCAAAAACAAAAACAAATTCTTGATACGGAACAAGAACACTACAATACGCGCCTTACAAGAATTGCGTGCAATTAAGAAGAAAACAAAACTGTTTTTTTTTTTAAGAGATCTGTCTGCTATACCAACCGAACACAAGTTTAAAGTTTTGTTGTCACATTTATTGTTTTGGCATATAAACGATTTTTCCAAAACAAAAGAAAATAGTCAAAGGATTGGAAAAACATTACCTCGTGTAAAGAGAACTTGTCGGAATCAGAAACTGTTGGCAGATCAACGTCAAAATTGGACGTTGTTATTGTTGACTCCGCGATACAATTTTCCCAACACGTATGGCTGCGCGATGGCGAATTCAACGAAAACGAGCGTACTTTGCTCTTCTTCTCCTCCGGTAATAAATCTGTAATTTTACGAGCCGCCGGTTGTCTCTGATATCTTTCTGCCGTTTCATGTTCTTCAAACGTCAGGATTGTTGGCCAACGTTTTGTCGGCAACACCGATCTGCGAGGCGTCATGAGTCTGTGGTGAATCCTGTCACTTTTTTCTAATTCTTGTCGAATCGATTCTTCGTCGAGTTTCTGATTTTCGTTTATCAGCAAAGACGAAACGTCGACATCGCAATTGTCCGTTGAATTCTTATAATCATTCGACAAATACATGCAGAACATAGACGACAAGAACGTTAACACGGAGAATTTCGAACTGTCCATGAACTTTTTTTATTTGAATAGCGAAGATTCACCGCGTTCTGTATTTTTATCCCTAAGTCTTTTTGCTTACTCGTCGTTGGATACGCGAAGAACTTGCAAAATTCACCGGGTTCGCAATTACACGTTCACAAATCGTTTCGTAAGCGGTGTCGAATTCCTTCTTGTTTAGATCCTTGTTCGGTTATTACCGGCGGTACTGAAAATCTGTAGATTCACGTCACGTGTACTATAGACTTTTAAGTATTGCCAATAACCGAAAAGGACCTTGAGTCAGCGGCACACGATGCTTTTTTTGCGTGCCGTGCTCTGACATAGATTTCAAACAAAATATGGATTAGAAAAGCGTCGCAGCTTCTGCAAACAGAACGCGTGATAAGAAACAACACACGGTTCTTACGTATTAGAATCTGTGTATTTTTCTGTATATAATTATGAGACAATGCGTGTTTCTATTTGACAATTTCTCACTTTTTTATAAATTTTTTTTACATAATATATGCGCGGATATATATATATATTATTTGATAATATTCCATATATTTGAGCTGCTACAACGTTCTGATATATATTCCTAGATTTTTACATGCTTTTCATACTCGGGAAATGTCATTTTAATTGTTGTAACAATTTATTTGTAATAATTGCAAGGCGAGCAACAAATATTGGGCAATTCTTTCATATAATTCAACTTTTATCTAGTTAAGTCAAACAGATTTCACTTCTTGTTTACGAAGTCTTCACCCTTCTGAATATTTTTCTGGAGCTCCGGAATCGCGGCGTCCAATAGTTTTTGCTCGAAACTGCTCAGTTTGCCATAGCCCAAGTTCTTTTCGACTCCGTTTTTCTGAAATTTAAAATACATTTGTCTCGATAAACGTTTAATTTCTTATTAATTTACCTACTTAGAAAGACACAATTTATCGTTCATAGAAGAAAAATTGACTTTCACATACTCTCTTATCCTTAAATTTTACTTACGCCCAAAAGCACCGGCGTGGAGAAGTATTTGGCGTTGGTAACGTTGGACTTAACATATGAGCATTCAACAATACCACTTTCTCCATTTAGCGCTCTGAGTAACGAAATACCAAAACGTGCACCAGCATAAGCCATAGACAAGGTTGCAGATCCGGTGCCTGCCTTTGCCTTAACAACCTCGGTACCGGCTTCTTGAATTCTTTCAGTGAGCGCTTTCAACTTGTCGTCCGGGAAGGAAACCGACGGTGTGCACTGCGAGATCACTGGAATAATAGTAATGCCGCTGTGTCCACCGATAACTGGAACGTTTGTTTTCTGCGGATCCTGGCCCTAAAGATTCATATTGCAACATTTTTTCTTAGTCTTTCTATTCTAATAAGTTAGATAGCTAAGCGTACGAAAACTATATAGTAGGCTTTAATAACCTTTGCCTCCGCAACGAACGTGTTGGCTCTGACGATATCCAAAGTAGTTACTCCGAACACGCGATTAGGATCGTACACACCTGCTTTCTGCAACACTTCGCTTGCGATTGGTACTGTGCTATTTACAGGATTTGAGATGATTGCCACCAATGCTTTTGGTGCAGCTTTAGCCATCGCAGCGACAAGATCCCGAACAATGGAGGCATTTGTATTGAAAAGATCGTCACGAGTCATACCCGGCTTGCGTGGCACACCGGCAGGTATGATAACAACCTGACAGATAAAACGATTACATAATAATTAATTAATAATACATGAAAAACGCAAAAAATTCAATTTTACTTTAAAAAATATAGCCACAATTTAAATTTAAAAAAATTAGTAGTTATATCAACTATTTGTGACAGTGTGACACATTTCTGAAGTACCTGACAGCCTTTAAGACAATCATGAAGTTGATCCGGACCGGTGTAAGCTTTGACTTTCGAGGCCGTATCAATGTGCGAGAGGTCGGCCGCAACACCTGGTGTATTCACGACATCGTAGAGCGACAATTCGGTGATAAGAGGCGATTGCTTCAAGAGCAGCGACAACGGCTGGCCAATGCCACCGCTAGCTCCCAAAACAGCTACTTTACCATCACGCTACGGAAAAATATCAAAATCAATCATATTACGGAATTAAATACCACAAATTTTTCAAATTTGAAACTTTATTACATTTCAGCGCATGCGTATCTAACTACTGTACATATGATATTCGGAGTTGCATAATAGGAGGATCCAATCGTAATTACACGTCGTTCTCTGATTACGCACGAAAAATTCCACTCCCAATTTAAAGAAATCGTATCATACATTTTTGACAACAAGTCATCAATCGAGAAATACAGAATAATTACAGAATAATCTTATGTGACGGTAGTGTCATATATTTCTAACGACTTCGCGATCCGATAATGAATGTGCACTACTACGTAAATGGAAAAATATTATCTTATGTTTAATCTAAAAAAACATGCAGATATGTACGAGTGTAATAGATATCGATATGTTCTTATATAAATAAATTGAAGGTTTTTTTTACAGAGACAACAACCGTATAATATTCTATTACCATATAATATAGTATTATAGTATTATATTGCACTTTTTTATATCGAAACACGTAGGATGAGATAATTTCTTTCTTCCTCTCTCTGTCTCTGTGTCTTTCTTACCTTAGCACTAGTCGATAACTGTTTTGCTCCTTGCTGAGCGCCATTTATGATAGGCCTGAAAAATCGTGGCAGCATACTGATGGTAGCAGACATGAATGACTACTGAATAATCAAAACGTCTTTGCGAGAAAACACGCAAGTGAATAACCAGAAAGCACTTGTGACCTTCGCGGCCTACCAGGGGTTACAGATTTCTCTTGCTGTTCGATTGCACAGCGTCCGCAGTGCCATCTGTAAAAGACAGGCGATGGCTGAAGTAGTTATTTAAGAAAAGTACGCTCATTGGAGAAAATACACAACACAGTTTCGCATAATTCAAATCCGCCAATTCTCTTTTCAGGATGGAGATAACAATAGAGAGATTATTGTACAACCATAGTATTGCAATATGTAACATTTATTAATGTACAATATTACGACAATTTGAAATGAGAAAAAAAATTATTTTTTATTAACCTTCCTAATTGATGCTCCATTTTACAGACAGCTTCTTTTAGTATGATTTATATTTCTATTTTATCTAATTCAAAGCCGCGAGACATTTTATGACTTTGCAGCAAGACCTTCAAGATCTTTGATGCACTGTTGGAGAGTTGCTTTCTCTTGCTCAGGAGTGATGGCTTTTAATACCCCATCCACAATCCATTGAACCATGTGTTTTTGCGCAAGTCTGCGCTCAAGATTTTGTATTTGAACTTGGTAGTCAAGACGCCTCTTTATCTATAAACAAAATCTTTATTCTATAAACAGAAAGTAACACAAATGTGATTACGTTTTATGGTGTATTTTTTTAAATTTTATTTTATATATATATGCATAATGTGTGTGTAAGAAATATATTATACCTCTTGGTAAACCTGAGCCAAGCGTTCTCTGTAAATTGCTTCCAATTGTATCTTAACATTCTCTTTCTTAATGTCAAATATCATTTTTTGTCCATCTAAACCGAGCTGTTCTTTTTTCTCATTCTCAATAACTTCTTCGTATGCAGCTATTTCACTGTTTCTCGATTCATTAAGCTCAGCCTCGTATTCATCTATTTTTTTGTCCAAAAACTCTGCTGTCTTTGGACCAAATTTCTTCACAACAAATACACATATTATAAACAAAGAGATGCCGTTATAAAATTCATGTTCCATAACATAAATTTCCTTAGAACACAAATAAGTGCCCACGGTCACAGCAAAAGCATATGGTCCTGAAAAAAGTAAAACATTTCTATTTTTGACACTAAAACTTTGCACGAAGATTTATCTTACTTTGTATATTATTTCTCTTAAACTTTTATATTTGATAATTTTGATGTAGTAATCATTGCAGTACGTGCAAAAACTTATTGAATCTGGTATTGTAGAGATTGGTTAGACATATAAATAAAGTCAATAGATCTGATTCTTATAATAAACATGATTGTGTACCTGATGCACCAGTTTTAGGATAAAAAGCCTGAAACCATTCCTCAGGTATAAATCCATGTCTTACTGGAGATGGATCAATCAACCGTTTAGGACGAGGAGGACTTGCTGCCGCGGAAGAAGCACTTTGCGTTCCACATATAGCTATGGGTAGCTGTGCTGTAATAAAAGACATAATTCTTAATATAACAATGGCGTATGTTTAAGATACAAAAATAAGAATACGTACTAAAAACTAATCAAATAAACGGAAAAGAAAGAGAAGAAGAATCTTAAATATTTATTGTAATAATACATAACCAAACAATACACAATAGTGTCATTTCACGCTTTCGAGTGGTTTAACCTTAGATTTATATCAATCTATAAATAATTCTTTTTCTGATAGAATATATATAAATAGTACGAGATACACTGTGAGAAACAAAAACAGGTGTATCGAGAAATGTCATTACATAATGGCAGAAGATTGATAATTAACCAAGTTTCTTGCGAGATGAATTAAACTTCGCTTAAAATTAAAAAGATTACACAATTGTTTACCATTACGAAGAGCCAATCTCGACAACATTTTTTTTACCAAACGCCGACCACTTGCAATTGCTCGCTTGCAGCAGCGAACTGTTGTGAAAAGTAGTACTATCAATAGGCAGCAACGAAAGAGACCATGATGTAAGAACAAGGTTGTATCATTCCCGAGAGATGCGCACAGTGTTCGACCAATCAGAAATTGCTTCAAGTGTATTCATGTTTTAATAAGGCCTGTTCTACAATACAGTCGTAAGCCGTAAAAAATTGACCAATCACAATCGATTATTCTTCTGTAATTAGTCTGTGATTGGTCAATTTCTTACGACTTACAGCTTACGACTGTATTGTAGAACAGGCCTAATATATTTATATTTGTATTACTTTTGGAATTTTTGTTATTTTAATTTTACAGCAACAGATCTAAGATTTTTTTATGCAAAATTTCATTAATTTTCTGTAATTAATATGAGAAGATATAAGCATTTTTCGCTAAAAGTTTAAGCGAGAAATGCGACCGCTACGACCGCGCTAAATTTCAAATGTATTACCAGGATCACAGAAAGTGACAAGAGCTCTTTTACCGGAGAGAAGATGTGAACCGACTCTGTCGATAACTTAGACGTATCAGGAAAGTATAAAGTTGAAGTAAGTGGCGCTAAGTATCTGTGCCGGTAATATTTATATGTCGGTGAATTCCAGCGGATAAATTCAACTTTCGTACCGGGATCGCAGAAAGTGACAAGAGCTTTACCGGGAGAGAGGTGAACTGACTCAGCCGATATTTTCGCCGTGTTAAAAGACTATATAAGTGACGTTCATCACGAGAAGACGGAACGACGCGACTTTTAACTCTTATTATTAACAGGAATGTAGAATGTGACAAGAGATTTACAGAGATATACACTCGATTCAATTGGAGAAGAGAATTTTACCGCGCATAGGGGAAAAAAAGCGGGCAAAGTAGGGATAGCGTTGCGTGCGGGATTGGTGGAACACTTGCCGACAGCCAATGGCTGTGAAGTAAGAAGACTTTTTGGTAGAGAAGGTGCGCGAAACGGACGAGTATTTGTTCGTCGAAATTCTCTTCTCTGATTGACTCGAGTGTAGAATTCTCGTAAGTGGTTTGAGTTTTTGGCTAAAAATACTCCGATTTAGCAAAGATTCAAACTAAAAAATGGAAATATAAATTAATTCAGTTCGATTGCTTTCAGGCATCTTTTTAGTAAAAAGAAACTTTAAATCCGAGAGCATACGTATGTATACGTACTAAGATTTGTTCTGTTTGAACTGTGCACTGGAATTGCGCTAAGTTGCTACACTCTGTTGAAATATTTACGTACGTATATTTCTAGAACACAATGGCCACGTTCAGCAGACTGAACAGATCAGTGAACGCTTACGGCCGATTTCTTCATACCTCTCGATAGCTATCCTCTGGATAAATTTTTCTGCAAACCAATAAGGAGAACCAATTTTGGGAGATATCTTCTAGATAAAGTTATCGAAAACTTATCTAGAAGTGAAAAAATTGGCTGTAAGCGCTCACTGATCTGCTCACGGCCGATTTCTTCATACCTCTCGATAGCTATCCTCTGGATAAATTTTTCTGCGAACCAATAAGGAGAACCAATTTTGGGAGATAACTTCTAGATAAAGTTATCGAAAACTTATCTAGAAGTAAAAAAAGGGGCTGTCAGTCTGCTGAACATGGTCAATGGTTGCTTTCCTTTTAGGAAAGACTTATACAGTCGACACAAGAGTCATTCTGTCTTTGTTTCTCGCTGAATACTGAACGAAGACAGACAGTCAATGTTTTCAATTCTAGATAAGTTTTCGATAACTTTATCTAGAAGATATCTCCCGAAATTGGTTCTCCTTATTGGTTCTCAGAGAAATTTATCCAGAGGATAGCTATCGGAAGGATGAAGAAATCGGCCGAGAATGACTTTTGTGTCGATTGTCTCCTAAAAAGAAAGCAGCCAATATTAGAATATTATCTTGTGCAATAAACAGAAAGTATACATCAACATCGCATCGTAAACGTGTGCAAATGACTGATTAAGATAAATTATTCACTTTTATAAAAAGAAAAAAGCAGTCAGTATTTACTTTTACTTATTTTGTACAATTTGTTTGATAATTTACAACAATTGAAATATTCATGACACTATTTGTACATCCAGGTGTGACAATAATCATTCTTACATTTATTAATAAATGATTTTTATGATGCTACATGCGTGTTTGAAATCGCTGATTATAAATATGGTCTGTCAGGTTTCGTCTTTTTTGCTTTTTTGTCTCTACTTCTATTGAACCATCTGTGTTTGGTGGTATATGTAATCTTTGCTAATTCATCCACGACTTCGTCGTTGGTCTTCTTCCAAAAAACCTGTTCAACGTCTTTATCCCCAATAGACAACACAGAAGTGTCAATTTTCTCCTCGGGCAAAGGTAAAGAACACTCGTAAGGAAACTGTTTCTTCGGATGCCAACAAATTACCATATCATTGTCTTCTGTAAATATTACCGCTTCCGAGGGTAAAGTACTGTATTTGCTGTATCTACAGGTTACAGCAGCAGACATACAGGTTCGAATTGTACGTAACATAGGATTCATCTAGTTGTAAGAAAAAAAGAAATCACTCATTCTGATACAATATTAATTTCTTAGGAAACTATGTTCGGTCGATATATAATTGAAGGAGATTTCAGTCCATACCTTGATATATGTTCCAATTTTATTTTTATTCGTATTGTTTTGAAAAACAGATGTTCAACAAATCTGAATTATCCTAACCTTACTCGTTTACAAACTCCGTTCTTCGTCGACCGCACTGAAGTTCCAAACACTTCTCTCATTAGGTCTGTTCTTTTTCCATACTTTGGCCGCACTATAGTTCACAGTCTATCTTTTTTTATCTATATTAAAAAAGGAAAAAGATAGACTGTGAACTAGTGCAGCCAAAGTATGGAAAAAGAACAGACCTATTGAACTCGGTGCAGACGAATTTTACAAGTTTCCGTTCACGAGCGCCGCAATGGGTGCGTTCAGACAACTCAACAGTTGCACAACGGTTGAGAGATAATCACTTCTGATTGGATCATACTTTTGGAAAGCAGTAGATTTTGAAGAATAGTCCTATCATAAGTGATGATCTCTCAACCGTTGAGTTATCTGAACGCACCCAATGTCCACGTTTTATACATTCCAGTAGAATAGAAATGCTACCAATCACAGACCAGCATTCTCTCAAGTTACATTTGAGAACTGCTGGCCTGTGATTGGTCAATGTTTACGTTTCGGATGCGTCTTAACAATCGAATCGAATCTGTGACACGTCGATTCGACATTTCGATTCTCGAAATACTACGCGCGATATATTCGGAAAATTGGCAAACAGAAATGGCGCGACGCGGAGTACTCGCAACTACAGCAAACGAATGTCGTCTCACATTTGTCGCGCTGGTCATGTTAATCGCGAGAAACAAAGTGTCGTGCGTGCGCGTCACACGGTTTCGCACGCGTATAAAGAAAAAAAAAAAAAAAACAGAAACGTAAAAACACGGAACAGAGTGAAAACTAATTCGGTGCAACAAGTGTTACTACACAATGGAGAACTGGAGAAAATCCAGGACTTGTTGGTAATAAGCGGCATCAGAACTTTTCTCCGACGGCAACCGAGCAATTACATCTACGGAACGGGTATGTAAAATAAATTCCAGCTCTGTTAGAAACAATAGCGGTTTAATCATCCTATCTTAGTATCAATGTAGTCAAATATATTATATGCGTGTACTATATGCATGTACATAACACGCGTTTCATATACAAAATCACATAAAAAAATGTATGAAAATTTTCTAAAACTTCTTTTAATATGTATAAAGTGTTTTTTTTTTTTTAAATAACATTAGAAATTGTATATTAAAATTTTAAACAAGACTCGATATAATTTATCAATTTTATAAAGAAATTAGTTTTTTTTTTTTTTTTTCCGTCAAGTTTATACATATCGTGTGTGTATATACTCGCAACACTTTTTATGTCGTAAATTTCAAAGTAGCGGAGCAGGTTGGTAATCAATTTGTATTGCCGACATCGATGTGTGTACGTGTGTGAAGGACACTTGTGTGTGTTAGACACATATATGGTTTTGCTTAAAAAAAAAAAAAAAACTCACGACAGGGAGCTCAGAACCAGAAAAGCTCGAACAATTGTAAATGAAAAACCGGTGATGCCAAAAAAAGCGGAGCGAAATTTGCGAGCCAACCTGGGCGCAGCTTTCTACCGTTAGATTTTCGAGTCGCAGACCAGCTGCTCGGTGGGGTCGTGTGCTTCGGGATACACCAAGGGAAACAAAATACAATGTGAAGCACACAATGGGAGTTGTCACGCAGTCACGCAATTTCGTGAAACTGCCTCGAAACTGGTTCGAATTAACAATTAAATAGCTTAACGTGGAATATTACTTAAATAATTTACGCTTTCGTATGTACACATCGCACTCACGTGCCGTTCTCCTCGCTATAACTGCGTTAGGAGAGAGTCGCTTCTTAAAAAAAAGTACGCAGTATTGGCACGCACACATACATAGATACGGCGCGATTATCGCGATCGCGTTTAGCTTTATAAATTGCTTCCTCAACAATATAAAATTGTCGACATCGTCATCATTTTTAATGCTGATCTTCATTCTTTCCTTCGTCCTTAAGACGACGTCCTTGCGCATGGCACCTGGGATTCAGAATTTAGAAAGCAGCGGCTTCTGCGACTTTCTCTCTCGCTCATCATTATCCTGCTACTAAGTTTGGCGAATAAAATCTTTGAACGTTTACACAGGTTCGAAAAGCACACAATCTTCTTCTGGTTCTCACACTTCCACACCGAGAACTCTGTCGACGACGTATTCGTACCTTTTTGGCTCTTCATTGCCATTTGTCTCGGTGGATTTTGAAGTTTCGCTATTCTCGCAGTTCTCTGAAGTTTGCGCATTTGACTCTACTTCCGAACGACTTTTAGCGTTAACGGACTTATCAGCATTGTTGATTTCTTCCTCATTGATGCTCGTAGCAACACATGTGTTCTGATCCGAGGTGTCGCTTCTCTGTAAAGTAGACAAGGCGTTTCCACCGGGAACACTGTTTGGCCGCGTTGTCAAATTCGTGATGCTGTGACCGCTGATAACAGGCTCGGACGCGTATCTTCTGTGAGTGTGCAATGTCGTAGCACATGTACTATCGGTCCCGAGATCGTCAGGCGGTAGAACAGGAACATTCAGATTCACCCTCGTAAAGAAGGACATTTTTTCTCTAGAAAAAAATAGAAATATTCTTTGAAATGAAATTATTTTCTTCGATTTAATTCTTTATTCTCAGCTCTCAAGAGAGAGAGAAAGAGAGCTGAGTTTTAAAGAGTCTAATGCGACTTGTAATATTTCGAATAGAGATTAAAGTGTCAATTTCAAATAAATAAAGGCAGAACTACGGTCACTTACTTGAAAGAGATTATGTCGGGCTTTCCTTTCCCGGCCTTTGTTTTTCTTAGTTTATAAATTTCCTTCGAAGTTTTCTTCAGCATTTTCTCTACTTTCTTTTCCTCGGCGCTCTTGCCGTTTCTACCACTTTCGGCTTGCGCCATTAGATTTTGAAACTTCTGATCTTCAAGCAACCAAGACGCTAGATCGGTGTCACCTTTCTCGCGCGCTTGTTCCAATCGTTGTTTCAGTTCTCGTAACCTACAAAGCTCGTCTTGAAGATTGTTCAGCCTAGCGTGCTGCGCTTGAAGATCTAATTCGAGATCCAGTGACGTTCTCGCTGTGGACGGCAAGTGAGACTTCTTTGATGTGGCTTTGTAACTGAGAGCAGATGACGGCCGACGCCATCGTAAAGAACGTCTTTCCACAGAATTCCTTTGGAAAGGCCCGCCCCTACGATAAAGCGGCATGCTGCTATCGCTATCGCTGCGATTGAGCTGCACGAAAAATATAAAGAAGAAATAAATAGACAAGAATAAAAACGGTAACACACACACATCCTATGACACAAATAATAATACATAAAACGGCAAACATTTTTTAAATGAAAACTTACGCGGCAGATGTAATGATTTTTGCTGACGGCCGCACTCGGCGAAAACGTCTGACTTCTCTTAATTACAATGGTGTTCTTATCGTCATGAATAGCACCGGGCATAACACCAGCCGCGGATAACTTTCTTTGCTTGCCTTGCTCCGGAATAAACACGCACTCGGTGTTTGTTTCTTTGTCTTGCGTTTGTCTCGTTTCCTCATTTTCTTCATCTTCCTGTTGCATGAAAAATTGAGAATCTTCATGAATTAATCGAAAAATATTGCTGAAGAAAATTCAAAACTCTTGTATCTCTGTTATTCACGATATATGTAAAAGCGAATTTATAATGGGGCATTTAACGATCGATATAATCGGAAAAACATAAATTTACCTCGTTCTCCAAAAGATCCTCCAGTCCACTGTTGTCTGTCACAAACTCTACAATAATACCCTCCTCACTGTCACTATCCTCGCTTCTGCTTTCGCTACCTCCACCACCGCCTCCGTCTTCCTCTTCCTCCTCCTCTTCCTCCTCTTCTTCTGGACTATCCAAACAATTTGCCAGTTCCTCCAGTCTCAGAGTCACGGCAGTCTGCAGCTCGTCGCATCCTTGATTCCTCGTCAAGGTGGAGGTCTGAGAGCTAATTATCGTGCTCTCGTCGCTACTTTCCTCTTTCGTATTTTGCACGCTTCGATAAACCGAAATATCAGATTCTTGTTTGTCGTGTTTTGCTTGTTTCATGGTGCTCGCAGTAATGCCGACGTTAATACTTGGACTGTCAGATGGTTGCATAAAACGGAAGGAGAGTATATTGTACCATTTTACACTAGGAAATTCTGGACTGAAGTCTGCTAATGAGACTTGAGCAGAACCCTGTAATCAAATCAATAATGCGATTGTTGAGAATAACTTGTTGTATATTATTGTTTTTTTTTTTTTTTTTTTTTTTTTTTTCGTAATATTATTTGTCTTATTACCAGGCATTTCTCGGCTTCGGTGCACCAGAGTGTGACTTGCAGTGTCTTCGTGTATAGCTTGTTGAGCGGCACAACAATCGAAAACGTTTCGCCGAAAGCTGGTTTTCGTAAATCTCCAACTGATTTTGTGCAACACGTGTGATTGACAAACGGTTGCATTGGCAGTAAAGCAGCTTTAATGTATCTGAAATGACAAAATTAAGAAAAATATTATTTTTTTTTCATATAGAGAAGATGTACACATATATTGGTATTTATCAATTGAGATAATCACACTTTTCCGGTCGCAAATTAAAACGCTTGTTAATCTTAGAAAGAAAAAAAAATAGAAAAAGAAAGAAACAATAACAGTACGAACAAAAAAAGTTGGAGATTTTATTTTACTCACACTTGCGCGTTATTGGGTATGGAAAGCGCGGCCAGATTTCTCGCGCGTTCGATGCCAACATGAAGCAATCCATCGCTCTTTGAATACCTGATATGAACGTAACACATTACAGATAACATGATGTGTGTAATACATTAAAGATAATCAAATTAAGATAGATCTTAAAGTCGATTGCATAATGCAATCAAGACAAATGAAAAAAAAACGTACCTTAATTTGATTTGCACTTGTGCCGTTTCTAAACTCATTTCGCCGGGAAGCGAATCTACGTCGGACATTAGGCCAGACAATCTCTTTCGATTGGATGCCTCAAACACACCCGAATCCCCAGCAACACTTTCATCAGAAACTGCGGCGGACACAGATCTAGTGTTAGTACCGGAGCTGCTAGCTCTCGATCTAATTCCAGTCGGCGGCGGCGTCTCACTAATCGGTGATAAAGGCAACGGCTCCTGCGGCGTTAATGGTGCCTGCTGCATCTGAAGCTGTAGCTGCATGCCGGTCGCGCCAGGCCTGCCCAAGCCGTTGCCTTGAGACATGTTGTTTGATTGCAGCTGGATCGGTGGATGAGGACCGACGACAAGTTTCAGGCGATCTTGCAAATTAGAAGTTGAACACAACTGTTCTTGTACTGCTCCCTGTTGCTGACTGAGCCTGAGCTCTGCCAAACGGTCTTCCAATTGATTTCCGTCCAGATGCGACGTAACAGCACTACTACTTAAGGCCGCCGATGTCGCTGCTGCCATTGCAGCCGCTCTTTGATGCTGTTTTCTCTGTAGTTCTACTTGTTCATAGGCAGGTGGTGGACCCACCGATGCGTTCTCGTGCAGCGGCGACACCGGGGGACTCACGCTCGACAGACTCGATCTCGGCGAGAGACTCGGCTGAGATCTGCCGGGCGAGGGAGTACTGACGAGAGTGCTCTGTTCATTGCGCACTAATCTTTCAAAACGTAATCGTAAATCCACCATATCGACTGTTCGCTCTTGTTGCGAACTAGTTGATCCTAGATATTGTGGACCGCCGTAAATATCCGTGAAACTTAATCCGGAGCTGAGGGATCCTTTGCTGCTGGTCGTGCTAAGACTACCGAGGCTGGAACTACTGCTTACCGACAACGTACTGGCACTGAGAGTCTTTAATTGTCCTTCCAGCGTTGCCATCGAGCGTAAAGCATCCCTGAGTTGTTGCAGCAACAGCTGCTTCTCCTCATGCAAGCGAACACGATCGGTAATAGTTTTGTTCGATAACTCGAGCGCGTTATTCAAGTCTTGTTCGAGTTTTCGAATCTCGCACTGAATCTTCTTCATATCCTGTTGCGTTCGTGTGCGCGGCGTAATGCTTCGTAGCTCTCTTAGCAATTGCTCTTTTTCTTGGAACAACAACAACTTGTCCTTATCACTCTCGGATTGATCAGGCGTGACCTTCTCTTCGAGATCTGCTAATTGCTGCTGAATGTCCTGAATCCGCTTTCGCGCTTCGTCGTACTGTAGCCTCATACGCGCCATTTCGGCTAGTCGAGTACCAATCGGTACGAGCTCACCCGAGAGATCGGTTTGCGAAGCCGTGCTGAGCTTTTCCTGCGGCAAACTGAGCGTACTGGCTTCCGGACTGCCTTCGCATAGTTGCAGCCTTGTCAATTCATCCTTGAGCTGCGCTAGCGACTGCATCAGTTCAGCTTTTTCCTTCTCTCCGGAGCTTAGGGACTTCTGAATGTTGCGGAGTTCCGTCATAATCGCCTGTGCTTCCGTGATATTGTAACAACCACTATGATGGCCGCTCAATTTTTGTTCCACACTGATGAAAAAAACCAAACAAATAACTATATTCTCAAATAAGTAAATGTGTGTGTGTGTGTGCACGTATATAACTATATGAATATTATAATCAACTAAAGTGCGATATACATTACAATAAAAAAAAAAAAATTTACTTTCAGCACAAATTGCAAAAAGTACCAACACGTTTTTATCTTTGGCTTGCACGTGCGCGAAAACACAAACTCGAGAGAATGCAAAAAACCATGGCCCTACAGATAATTTAGAATATTTTTAATTTAAAAGTTTTCAGGTTAAACAATTTTCTCTCAACGCTCTTACATTATACAAATCTATAAATCTAACGTTTTTAAATATTTTGTCGCATTAAAATTAGATGCACTCTCTATCGTCTAATGTTTAATGTATGGTACCTGGCAAGAGTATCCACGCCTCGTTGCGTGCAGCTCATCTCCGCTCGAATCTGCTCGAGTTCTCGCTTTAATCGAGAAACTCGACTTCTGGCAAGTGCCACGTCGGATTTAAGTAGGTCAGGGTCGTATTTAGTACTCAAAGAACTCGAGCTGGAACACACTGTAAATTACAAATGTTCAGTACACTTTTGACGATCTATAATCCACTTACGTGCTCGTTACGATCTATTCAGATTAAACGTTCGTGTAAAATCATGGATATATAAGTCGTGTATAAAATCAAAAAAAGTCTCTCAATTATAATCAATTTTTAAACTTTATAACACAAAATATGTTGTGTGTGCAATTTTTTAATTCCAACAACAAAATTACAACAGAATTGACGTGAAATACCTATGAAATAGATGCTTATACACCACAGACACAGTTTACAGAAGCGAAGTTAAATTGTTATAAAGTGTTTAACAATAATATAAGATAAAATTCGCTCTTTGTCGAATAACACTTACAACTTGTGCGTGACGCACCAAGGGTGGTTAAGGCGTTATTCAAGTGATTGTACTCATCCTGTGCCAGACAGAGTCTTTGTTGTTTTACGTCATAGATCTCCTTCTTCGCCTAGAAAAAACACAAGAGTGATCTTTTTTTTTTAAATACGAATCTCACGTCACACGTGCAACGATTTCTTAAAAAAGTAGTTCATGTAGTATAAAATTCACATTAAACACATGTCAAATTCCATAAGTGACAAAACATCATTTTTGATGCATTTTTGATACATAAGATAAACTGAAGATTTTCATGCAAGTCAAATTGACTATACGATGTGAAAAGGATAAATGTTTGAAATAATTTGAGAGCAACCTGTCGTATAGACGATTCGATAAATAATACGTATCGCAAAACAAATTCTTCAAGATTTCCTACACACACGTACGCAGAGAAAGAGAGAGAAAATTACTGCATTCCCAATGTAGAAAGAACAGCATGATTTTTTGTATGCAATAAACGCATTCCGACAAATTGGAACTATAACACCTAAGATTCCCACTGACAACAAGACGTAAAAATGCTATCACAGTATCGAATACCTGCTAACACAACTGCATTTTCTTGCAAAAGAAATAAACATTTACAGCTTTAACGTCTTGACGAGAGAGATAAAATTTCGCCGATTATTTCCTAAAAAAGCTGTAAATTATAAACTTCACGTATATACGTTTACGACGAAAAACACCAGAGATACAAGTGGTTGATCACACAGATTCCGTTTTTTTTTTTTTTTCAAGAAAGTAAACAAAGTAATATCTCTAGCGGAAAGTGACGAGTATCTCACAATGCGAGTAGCTAGCATTCTTACGTATTCACAGTAGTAATACGCCGTAGCGTCGGCGTCATCGCGCCTGTAACACTGCTCCCAATAAAATCGCTGTATCTGCTCGTCGTTTTCGTAATCGTTGTGATAGCACATTCTCATGCGATACTGCGACACGACGTTCTCGTAGATCTGCTCTTGGTGTTGCTGCTGCTGCTGTTGTTGTTGCTGCTGCTGCTGATACTGATACGTTGGACGTTGCAGACTTTTGCATTGCTGTTCGTGTGCCTGCTGCCGTTGATAATGATAACGATGATGAAGATGATGATAATTGTCTACGTAGCTACAATACTGATGTGCCGGTACGAGTACACAGAGAGTGTACTGTCGGTCCATGCCGGGTCCACGGAGTGAATTTGGGCGCACTACTATCTGTAGTCGCTTGACGCGATGACTTTCTTCCTTTTCTTCACTCTCTTCCTTCTTGTCTTTTACTTGACACTTTTGGTCTGTTTGTTCTCTTCTTTCTTTCTGTATTTATTCCATCACACTTTTTGTCTTTTATTTATTTATTTATTTATTTTTTTTTTATACCGCTTTCTTGCTTTTCGTATCTTCGTGCTTTGTTTCTCTTCTTTCTTTTCTCGATGCCTCGCGTCCTTTCGCGTACTCCTGCGCTTTCAGTTGGTACTCTCCTATCTCCCGTCCTCACATCTTCGCAAAGGCCTCCTCGAGACTGGCTAGTATACGGGTCCGAAATTCCAATCCCCACCTCTGTGGGTCTCAATTTTTAGGGATCCCACCTTTTTTCCTCTTTTTGCCTTCTCTTCCTTCGCTTCTTGCGCGATCCGGCCAGTTCTGCTTGGCCCCCCCTCTTCGCTAAACCCTTCACTCCTCCCCAGCATCCCTTTTATCCCCACCAAACACAGTCTCACGCGCGCACACACAGATTCCTTTCTCTCTTCAACGGGATTGAACACGAACTGGCTCTACGTACTCCCTCTTCAACCTTCTTCTCTTCTTCTTCTACTTTTTTTTTGCCTTCTTCTCCATTGCGCGCGCGTCCTTTCCTCTTTTATTCCGGAGACTCCTTCCACCATGTATCTTTCGTACTGTCTCTCTCCTTCTCTCTCTTCTCTCGGCAGCCTCAAGCTTTTTCTTTATCCAGCGCAAAAACGCGGGCCTAGACAGGATCGCAACTAAGAGAGAGAGAGAGAGAGATTCCGAGATTCAAATATCTAGAGAGAGAGAGAGAGAGAGAGAGAGAGATTTGTTTAAAATTCAAATTCAGCGCGGAATAACATCTCGTCTGCGATTACTAAGTAATCCAATCGGAACGTGCGAACTGATCGATTATACGTGAAAACAACGAAGAAACTCAACTCAAAATAGCGAAGTTTGCGCATATCTATTGTGTGTTTTTGCTCGCTGAAAGATTGTTGAAATTTTTATTTAACGAGATTTTTGCGATATGTACAGAGCGATGATAAAAACTAGCTTATTGTGTCGACGACAAAACTAATAATGTTCTTTACCAGAACAACGCAATAAGCAATAACGCAATTTGCTCTTCTTCTTCATCATTACTCGCTATAGACAAGATTTGCACATATTTGTCATATCGTCATTCTAAGTCACTCAAAGACGTTTAGTTTTGACAGACCGTGGAATGTTGTGACATGCATGTGATCCAGGATTGCAGAGCCTACGAAGTGTACAATTTTGCCGTAGCGGTGTCGTAGCGCGCGCGCAGGCTATATGCCGATGTAGAAGAAGGGAGAGGAAGAAAGAAGGATGGAGAAGGACGACGAGCGAGTATACCCAAGGATTGCAAAGGGATCGGTTGAGAACAAGAACGAATGGAGGAACAAGAGGGACGACGAGCGGGAGGTGTGTGGAGGTCTGTGGAAAAGAGACGATAGATGAGAGAAAAGAGGAAAGAAAATCCGATGAGGTCGCAGCAGCACGATCCTGCTGGAACGTGATCGCGCGCATTCGTCCGTTCGGAACTCTACCGCTGTCGCCTGCTGGTAGTACAACCGACCTTGAGTCGCGCATTATATCCCGTCCTTGTTGGAATTTCTGGGGGCCCTACTGGGGTCTACGCTATACCCGTCAGCCGTGTCTCCGATCATCTAAGAGAGTCACAAGAGCCTGCTGGCAAGAGCCTGAGCTGAACAGGCAAGGACTTCCTTGTTGCGCTAGTTGCGTTTTACGCCCCCCCCCCACCATTCCGCTCTTCCTCCTTCCAATCAGGGACTCTGACCATCAGATCCCCCGGTGTAACTCCACTGGGAAAAGAGCGCGCGAATGTGTTCTTCTGGTTCCCTTCACTTCCCGTATCTTTTCTTCTCTCAATCTCGCCGAAATCCTTGCTTTATCTCTCTCCTTCCTTACTTTCCTCTCCCTTCCCCCCGGGGTACTCGTCTCTTTCTCCTCGAAGAGAATTCGCGGCGCATCTCGCGCATATTTCTCGATTCGTACTATTACCGCCGGAGCAAATGGTGTCGAAAGTACGCGCCCCGGTTTATCCGCTCCGCGAAAAGCGACCTTTTATTTTTCTGCCCCAACTACTTCCTCCTTTTTTTTTTTTTCCACATCTTCGTCGCGATATCTACGATTGCGACTCTAGAACGAGAGTGTAACACACAAATATTTATTTCTTTTTTTTTTTTTAAACTGTTTGGTCTAAGTCGTCATCGTCTCTTTTCTTAAAGAACCGAAACAAACAAAGAAAGGCTCTTTAGCAACAGTCGCGCATTCCAAGCGGTCTCTAATAGCGTTCCTAGTATAGTAAACAAAAGATCATCTCTCGAAAAAGGTACGGCATACCAGAAGTCGCGTGTCGTTGAAGCCTGGAGGAGAAATGGAAAAAGAAAAAAAGAGGATATACAGAGCAAGACGAAGAGGATACATATCATGGATATACATACATATATATATATATATATATATATATATATTCCTGCGCAAACAGTCGTGATTTATACTAGCCAGAGTTTTCTATCCTAGAACTGAATGCCTAACTGATTGCTGAGTTCCATTCCATCGACCTGCCTTCTTCTTCTGTTCCTTTTCTCATCGTCTCTCTTTCCCTGCTCTTTGCTCTCGCGAAAGCACATTCCCGGGAATGCTACGAGAAACCACCGTTGTGTGTCTTTTGCCCTCGTTCAAAATTCCAATCGTTCCAATCGAACTATACTCTTTCCCCGCGAGTTCCCGTCCCTGATTACAAATGCTTTTGCGACGAGGGAATACCTGTTGATAAATAAACACCGACCGCAGAGTACACGCGGTGCCATTCTTTTTAGAGCACACATTTTTTTGCTGCTTTTTTTCTCTTTATCCAAAAACGATAATTTTTTTAACAAAGACTTTTTCAATCTTTTGGTATTAGTGCGCAGGCAACAAGTTTTTCGACGCGAATATTTATGTTCTAAGAGAACGCGCAAAAGACGATACTATGAGATGTCACACTTATGTTGTAAAAAAAGCGCTAATTTCCGTTTGTGCAGGAAAAAAAACAAAAAAAAAAAACAAAAAAAAACAGATTCATGCAATGCTAAAATCGCGAGGTAGGAAAAAAAAAACAAGGCAAAACAAATAAGAAAAAAGAAGTCATGGCTAGACCGAGGAGAAGTTACGTGGAGTAATGGCACGAAGAAGGTTCGCGTTTATTCGCACAGATGATGATGACGGCAGTAGTGGCAACGGCGGAGGAAGAGGAAGGAGGAGGAGGAGGAGGAGGAGGGATTGGAATGCAACCGAGTGAGGAATTCCGACCCCTCCCGCGTATTTATCTGAACACGCGGTTCGACTCGGCTCGACTCAACGCAGCGCGCGATGACGGCGACACAGGGAGTAGGACCTAGGTCGGGTCCGGTCCACGGAACCCCCTTTTATAGTGTATCAACCACGCGACTTGGCGCAAATAAAAGAAAGAGAGAAAAGAAGGCGAGGGAGAGGAAAGAGGGGAGGGAGGGAGAGAGAGAGAGAGTGTGTGTGTGTGTGAGTAAGAGAGATAAAGACGAGGTAAGGCGAGGCCAATGCCAGGACACTACATACTATGACCTTAGCATACAAGCTTATTCGGAAATGCCCACAGCGTTTCGTAAATGAGTTTGTAAGATTTTCGCGCGAGAGCAAAAGTGAAAGTTTTTGACGCAACGTGAATGTCGTTCATTATTTTTTTTTCGTTACATTCAATACAATATCGATAGTACGTATTAATTTTGCTGGATCTGCACTGATTATATTGTTCTATTTCCAAGCAATTTTACATGATTATCTCTTTTTTTTTTTT